TTAGTTCATAACAATTGAGAAAGAGAGTATGGATATCGATTTTAAGTGCATTAAAAGCTTCAAACCTTGGTTGTACAAGGTTGTTGGGTTGTACAAGGTTGTTGGGAGTATTCATGGCAATGGCAATGTTGTAAATACTTGAAGATGATGAGGTTGAGAGAGTAAAAATGCCATTTTCGGAAAAAAATTCAAAAAACATATAAATGGCATTTTCGTAAATAAAATGAAGATGTGGGGTGAATAGGACAAAAACAAGATGAGTCAAAAGAAGAGGTTAGTTTTGTGTTTGACTTGGAGTTTTGAGTCAAATTTGCAAAAAGCCCTTGTTTTTCACCCTTTTGTCCCATAATAATAGATTTCCGTCGTCCAGAAAATAGAAGAGCTCGTCGGGAGTAATAATAATAGTACTAGATTTTGACCCGCGCTTGAAAGCGCGGAAATTTTTTATGATTGAAAGCGCGAAATTTTTTTATGATTACAAATTTATATAATTGGGTTTTGTCTTAATTTAAATAATTGTTTAGTATAAAATCAATTCACCAAAGTTTGTGGTGATGATTTTTTTCATTAGTTTTTAGTTTCATTTTTTAATTTTTGTTGTTTTAAAATTTTGGTTTTTAGTTTTAAGTTTATATTTTTGATTTTCAGGTTTTGGTTTGAGTTTTTTCTAATTTTTAGACCCGCTGAGTTAGTTTGAACTGATATTACCAACAAACAAATCTCAAATAATCAAACATCTAATTTAAAGCTGAAAATATGACAATTTTTTTTTAAAAAAAAAAATTGCAATAGTTTATTTTGTAAATAAACAAAAGCAAAAAATATAACCTGCGTTTTCAGCTTTTGGTTTGGATTTTAGTTTTTAGAGTTAGTTTTTGGTTTTGCTTTACTTTTTTTTTAAATCTATAAATTATTTAAGAAAAATAAAACAATAAATTATTTAAAATTTACCATTGAAATTTATCCAAAAAAAGTGATTGTTATTTAAAATAAAAAATACATTAACATGTTTTAAAGTACATGATTTAAATAAATGATTAATAATAGATAATTTTGTTTTGTTAAAATATTAAATTTTGGGTCTGAAAATAATAATTGATTTTTTGATCTAGTAAGGTGGAAAGTTTATTCAATGCTTTTTGGAATTTTCCTTAATACTAAGCCCAAAAACCAAACCATATCATTTGTTTTAAAAACAAAAGAAAGCACAAAACTATATCCCATAAATAACCACCGGTTTAATTTAAGTAATACGGTTCAATTAACTATATGCTTTGTATTATTTGTAACACTCTAGAAAGGGTCCAAAGTTAAATGACAACTTGTATCAGTAGATAAAAAGACTGACTCTATTTTAATAGAGTAGATATGGGGTTGGTTTAGACTTTTAGTATGCAAATTTCCGTTATATTTGATCGATGTTTCTAGGTGGTTTAAGGTTAGACGACAAAACGACGATGTCTCGGAGATCGAAATTACAGATCGTGTCTGTCTGCTCTGCTCTCTTCCTTCAAAATCCGATTTCAGGCAACCTTTTACTCGGTCAGAAGTTTTCAACTTTTAAGGCCAGTTTCCTTCTTCCTTTGATAAGTAAAATCTTCATGAGGAATATTATAGGAGAAACTTCACTTCAGCCAAGGAAGGCCTAATTCCACTTCAGTAGGCACTAGGCTGAGTAGTTAGTAAGTAGAGTCTTGGATTACCTTTAAGTAGAGGAGAAAAATAGACTACTTATGGGTTAACTTTAAGTAGAGTCTTGGATAACTTGAGGCTGCAACAGATGATTACAGTGTTGACAACGCGTCAGTCAGCTCGTGCTCTTCTTGCTAAACATGATTGATTATACATCTCGATTACGTGCTCTTAGCTCCTTGTGGCTTGCCCCGGCCAAGAGAGTGAACACACACAAGAATTGTGCTTTGCTCTCAGCTTTATACATAATCTTACAATTCCTCCTGAGAGATCACAAAGCAAATTAGGTCTTCTCAGATTCTTACCAAAAGCAATATTTTGGGAAAGAAGAGTGCAGATTTTGAAAATGGGTTTTACTGAGATCCCACTAAGACTTAGATTTTGTGTTGTGTGTTGTAATCTTTAGCTAATAAGGTTGTGTAGTTCTTAGAGAGTGATTTTGTTCATAGTCTTTGAATATTTGAGAGCCAATAGATCGTCAGTGTAAGGTTGTAGTAACCAACATGACAGAAGGGATATTTTCAGGAACTTGGATTGTATGATGATCACAAGTAAAACAGACAAATTTTAATTTAAACTGAGAGAGTTCTGATACAAATACTTCTCCATGCTCAAACGGAGACCTTGTTCCAGCATCGGTATTAAGATAAGGATCTGCGCCAAGAATGTAAAATGATCATGTAAGAAGCTTCAACCACATAACCAGTCTAAACACAGTTTAATTTTTTCTTCAAATTAACTTAGGCAGCACAACACAAGTCGTTACAATATAAAAATGGAGCATTTTCTCGGTCGTTGAATTTTCATGTATAAGTTAGCCTCACCAATCTTAATGTAAGTAACGCGGAGACCACATGCTTGAAGGAGAAGACCAATGCTACTTGCAGAGGCTCCTTTTCCAAGTCCACTCATCACTCCAACAAAGAACAATGACAAAGCCTTCTCAAGTTCAATTTGAACTAATTAAAAATGTGGAAATCACTAAAAAAACGTGATTAAAAAAATTCATGAACTTCTTTATGGGAGGATTATTTGGACCACCATCTGTTAGAAAAGTAAATAAATATTACAACAGAAACTCATCACATGAATTAAACTTTAGAAAAACAATATTACTTACGTATGGAAATGCACAGTACTTGCACTTCCCAGGAAATTTGTTTGCCGTGTCCATACGTAAGTAATATTGTTCTTCTAAAGTTTAATTCATGTGATGAGTTTCTGTTGTAATATTTATTTACTTTTCTACCAGATGGTGGTCCAAAGAATCCTCCCATAAAGAAGGTCATGAATTTTTTAATCACGTTTTTTTTAGTGATTTCCACATTTTTAATTAGTTCAAATTGAACTTGAGAAGGCTTTGCCATTGTTCTTTGTTTCTGATGATTCAGGTAAAGACACGTACCAGGAAAATGAAGTACATTTTGGTGAGAGGAGGAGTGATGAGTGGACTTGGAAAAGGAGCCGCTGCAAATCCACCCCCAACAGAGATTCTATTTGATTCATTTTTAATAATCTGTATTGCAGAAGAAGGAACCAACACTTTGGTTGACACAAGAGTATTCTCTGCCAATGCCATGATCAGCACTTTGATCAACAGCTTCAGTTTCCTTTATATACGTTAGGGTCTTGTCATGTTCATGTTCCAGCTCTGTGACAATTTTTTGTCTCAACGGTCTCTTCTCACAATTAGCATGAACCACGTAAATGTCTGGTAGAATCTCTTCATTGTACCCGTGGCCAGCAAGGTACTTGTTGATCCAAAACTGAGCGATTCCATCTTGCTCCGGATAAATGGATAGATTCTCTGGATCCCAAAAATCAGCTTTGGCACCATTTAGAAACTCATCACCAAGATGACTTAGTTCAGGAAGAAGAATGAGATTTTCAGGATTAGTTAACCATTTTTTACTCTGTTGGTCTGAGGAGAGAGCTTGAGAACCAGATGAAGTAGAACAAACCATAGTTAGAGCGGATGAGTAAGATGGCACCACTGCTTACTGAGCTTCGCCTTTGAAGGAGAGGTTAGGGGACTACCATCAAAGTGCAAGAACTGTGCAGGTTCATAAGTTATCTACTTGTGTGTTTTAACTTCATATGGTTATAATTTGAGTGAGTGTTTGAACAAAGCTTTTTAATTTTTGTTTAAGTGGTTCCGCATATTACTGACTCAATCCAAGAGTGGATTGAGAGTGTAGCTAAAGTTCCTGTGGATGGAAAGGAAGGCTCTCCTGATGTATGTGTCATTGAATTAGGCGGGACTATAGGTACTGTTTGTTGGCTGATGTTACCATTCATGACAGTTTCGTAGATGAATGGGTTTTGTTTACTTGTGTATTGTGCATGTGATATTGAATCTATGCCATATATCGAGGCCCTTGGTCAATTCTTCTATAAAGTTGGTAAGCTTTGCTTTAAGGTGCAATAATTGTTTTGAGGCTGATTATCGGCTCCATCACCTAATAATAGTAGTTATTTCTGTTATTTTATAGGACCTGGCAATTTTCGCTTGGTTCATGTGAGCTTTGTGCCTGTTGTTGTTGGTGAACATGTAATTTTCTTTGGTCTTGATATCTTCCATGGAGATTCTATTTGATTAATTTTTAATAATCTGTATTGCAGAAGAGGGAGCCAACACAGCATAGTGTGCGAGAACTCAGGAGGCTTGGGTTGACACCAAATATCCTAGCATGTCGCAGCACAAAGGTATAATGAGTTCTCCAATACTTTTCATGTCATGTAGTTTGATGATTGACCATAGTTTTTTCTTTTTTTCATCTTATCAGTTCTTGTTTTGTTATAGCACTTGAAGACAATGTCAAGACCAAACTCTCTCAATTTTGCCATGTGCTGGTATTTGTTACTATGCTTATAAAAATTTGTTAGAGCAGAAAGGTTAGATCTCTTATTCTGTCACTTTTTTTTGGTTTCTTATAGGCATGTTCAATCTGGTGTTCGGTCCGGTTTCGGTTCGGTTATTTTCGGTTTTCGGTTATTCGGTTTATAAAAATTAGCTACCATATTGAAACCATATTTAATTTGGTTTGGTTCGGTATTTATACTATCGGTTTTCGGTTTATTCGGTTTTATACCAAATAACATTATTATTTGATTTGATTTCATATTATATGAATTTTTAAAAAAATATTGTCAAAACTATCATTTATTAAAATAATCCTAGGTGTTCACAAATACAAAAATCTGAAATTAACAACAAACAAAACGACCAACGATTCAGTTTTGCACAGCTTTTCTTATTTTCTATTTCTTCTTCCAAATAAATTACATGCAATCTAATTTCACAATTTCTTACAACATGCAAAATAAAATCAAATTTAGATAATAGTTGAAGAAAATAAAATAAAATTATTAAGATATATCTTCACAAGGAATAAAAAAGTAAAAAAAAAGATTATTCCAAGAAAATATATGGTTATATAATGTATATATTTATATATTTTTTCTTTGATCGGTTTTGTTCGGTTTATTCGGTTATAAACCTAACCATATCCAAATCCTACGGTTTTATAAAATCATATCCATTCGGTTTATATGGTATATATCAAATCCAAACCATATTATCTATTTCGGTTCGGTTCGGTTCGGTACGGTTCGGTATTACCATATTGAACAGTCCTAGTTTCTTAGGAAGAGAACATTGTGACGCTCTATGACGTTCCAAACATCTGGCATGTTCCTCTGCTTTTAAGGGTAAGTAAATTTCTTATTTTCTTTGTTGTTGTGATGCTGACTGTTTTGTTGTTCTTATTTCCTTTATTGTTAACTTCTCTAAAATAGGATCAAAAGGTTCATGGAGCAATTTTAAAAGAGTTGAACCTCATTGGGTTTGTCTCTGAACTTGTCTTTCAATTTTTTCTTGCCTCTATGTGCAAATCCTGTTTTACTCTAGGTTCCACACTTCAGCAGCTGGTTTGATTCTTCTGTTACTTTTCGCTACTAATAGAGCTTTGGTTCTTCTGCAATATGCAGCAAAGAGGCTGACATGACCAAATGGATTGAAAGAACTGGAGTTTATGATTTGCTGCAAGATCATGTAAGTCAACTTTTTAAAATATGTTTCTAATGCCAATCTTAACGGTCTTAACCTTCTCTTTACATGTCAGGATTGCAGTAGTTGTTGGAAAATACAATACTAATTCTTACCTATCCGTTTCCACGGTAACTCTATCTTGTGTACTTGAACAAACCTAATATAGTTATGCTTTTTAACCCGCCCTTTAGTTTATGTCTTCTAACTGGAAACAAATTCTGAAATTCTTTCTGCAGGCCCTTTTGCATGCTACTGTGGCATGTCACAAGAAGCTTGTTTTAGAGTGGGTTGCAGCCAGTGACCTTGAAGAGATTACTTCTCATGAAGTGAGTCTTGTCTTCGTTTCTCATAGTGTACTACAGCTGTATTTAATCTCATGAGCCTTTGTACGACTTACCATTGCAGACGCCTGATGTCCATAAAGCTGCATGGGATCTTTTGAAGGTAGATTAATTCTAATGAAAACTGGTAATCCCAATTCAGTTAAATATCTTGGACTCAGCGTTTTTGGTTGTTCCAGCCTTCCAGGGTGCTAATGGCATTCTAGTACCAGGAGGTTTTGGTGATACAAGAGTGGAAGGAAAGATACTTGCTACAAAGTACGCACGTGAAAAAGAAGTCCCTTTCCTTGGCATATACCTGGGAATGCAGCTGGCTGTTGTTGAGTTTGCCCGCTCTGTTCTTGGCCATAAGGATGCAAACAACACAGAGTTTGAGCCAGAAACTTCAACCCCTTGCGTCATTTATATGCCAGAGGTATTTGTCTACTCTTCTCATTTGACTGATTACATGCTATAAATTTTTCTAAATGTCTTCTTAACCTTGTTTAATCTTTTCTTAAGGAATCCACAACTCATATGAGAGGCACAATGCGCTTAGGTTCAAGGAGGACTCACATTCAGGTTCCTGATTGCAAGTCTGCTAAGTTGTAAGTACATAACACATTTAAGGTATAGCACATGAGAACTCTTAGGACTCGTTTCCATAACTAGAAAGCATATATAATTTCTCTATTTATTTTAAGGTACGGTAATGCAGAGTATGTTGATGAGCGACACCGTCACAAATATGAGGTAATACAGCTTCTTTTGTTTTACATATTGTGTTTTACCTTGAACTCTCTCCTGAATCGTTCCTTTTATTGGCAGGTAAATCCAGATATGATAGCAGAGTTTGAGCATCATATAAGATCAGTCCTCTAATAATCGGTTTATATTGGTTACCTTTAAGGGTTGATGTTAAAATATGCCACTCATACAAGATAGCATCATATAAGATCAGTCCTCTAATAATCGGTTTATACTAGGAAACCGACAAATCGAATTTATACAACGACTTTCTAGAATGAGTGTAAAAAAAAGTCAGTTTACACATTAATAAAATATGTATACACATCTATCTGAAGTTCTAAACAATAGTCCTCTATAAAACTCTTAACCATCTCATACCAATTTCTTTAATATTTCTTGAATCAAGTAAGCCACATATTCCGAAAATATGCCCCCCTTGTTATCCCCATGAAAATGGAACAGGGCTACTTGAAATACATTTACTGTTTTTTTTAATATCAATACAAAAAAAACGAACCATAAACGTCATCAAAAAGCAAAGTTGGGAGTATGATTGATTACAAAGAAGAAAGCAAAATGAAAAAAAAAATCCGATAAGGCACATGATAAATCTCATCTTTGTTGTTTTTATTGAAGATATATGTAATGATAGATAGTTGAGGTCCTTATTTGTAATTAGTCTTTACCTAGTACTCTCTCCCAACGTGTATAAGTATTGTACAAAGCGTCTAATAAGAATCATCACTTTCCATAATCTACATGGTATCAAAGCTTACGCTCCTAAACCTAACGAAAATTTTCTAAGCCGCCACCATGAGTTCTTCATCGCATACCAATGAAGTCATCTCCATCAACAACGACAACAAGTCCCTTCTTCACATTAACATGTCTAATGTGACAAAACTCACAAGCACACTGACTGGCGTCAAGAAGCTAACTCTGAGTTTGATGCACACATTGTGAATCACACGTGGGATCTCGAACCTCCGCAACCAGATCAACATGTCATCGCCTGCAAGTGGATTTTCACTACAAAATACCTTGCAAATGGCCAAGTACATTGTCGCAAAGGTCGCTTAGTCGCAAAGGGATATACGCAACGGTTCAGGGTAGATTACTCGGAGACCTTTAGCCCAGTTATCAAGTCTACTACCATCCGCTTAGTACTTGAAGTGGCAGTCACGCAGTCTTGGCCTATCAAACAGTTGGATGTCAACAATGCTTTCCTTCAGGGAGAGCTCACTGAAGTTGTTTATATGATGCAACCACCTGGTTTCAATGACAAAGATAAGCCAAATCATGTATGTCGTCTACGCAAACCGATTTATGGTCTCAAGCAAGCTCCGCGCTCCTGGTATCTTTCTTTAAGACAACACCTACTTGATACCGGCTTTGTCAACTCCACTGCTGATGCATCTCTGTTTTTCCACCGATATGGACACACTATCACCTACGTTCTCGTATATGTTGATGACATCCTCGTCACAGGAAATGACTCGCTACTTGTTCATAAGGTTCTCAAATCGTTTGCTGAAAGATTCTCCATTAAAGACCCTATTGATCTCCACTACTTCCTTGGGATAGAAGCCATCAGAACACCAACTGGACTACACCTGATGCAGCAGAAATACATCAACGATTTGTTAAACAAGAAAAACATGGCTGACGCAAAACTAGTTGCCACTCCTCTTCCTACTTCACCAAAACTCACTCTCCACGGTGGCACACCACTCCTTGATGTTGCTCCTTACCGTTCTCTTGTTGGCAGTCTACAATACTTGGCATTTACGAGACCTGACATCTCATACGCAGTCGCAAGTCTCTCTCAGTTCATGCATAAACCAACTATGGAGCCCTGGCAAGCAGCAAAACGAGTCCTTCGCTATCTTGCAGGAACCCGCAGTCATGGAATCTTCTTTCACAAGAACACTCCTCTCACCTTACACGCCTACTCTGATGCCGATTGGGCCGGCGACATGGATGATTACGTCTCCACAAATGCATATATCATTTATCTTGGTCGCAACCCTATCTCCTGGTCATCCAAGAGACAAAAAGAAGTTGCACGCTCCTCCACAGAAGCTGAATACCGTGCTGTGGCTAATACAGCTTCCGAGGTAACATGGCTATGCTCATTGCTTTCTGGTCTTTGCATCGACATACCCACTGCTCCGGTTATATACTGTGACAATGTGGGAGCTACTTATTTATGTGCGAATCCGGTATTCCACTCTCGTATGAAACATATTGCATTGGATTATCACTTCACAAGAAACATGATCCAAGCTGGACAGCTACGTGTCTCACATGTCTCTACCCGAGATCAACTCGCTGATGCTTTGACAAAGCCACTCCCACGGAACCACTTTCAGCAAGCTTGCAACAAGATTGGAGTGCACAAGTCCCCTCCATCTTGAGGGGGCGTATTGAAGATATATGTAATGATAGATAGTTGAGGTCCTTATTTGTAATTAGTCTTTACCTAGTACTCTCTCCCAACGTGTATAAGTATTGTACAAAGCGTTTAATAAGAATCATCACTTTCCATAATCTATAGTTTTACCTAAGCTCTTATTGCTTCTCTTTTTAAACCGATCAGCCTGACGCATTTCCGTTTGATTGAGATTCTGTGCGGACGTAGGTCAGACTACGAGTACTTGGAGCTACAACGTTGTTCTCAGCTGAATCATGTTTCTATTGCACACTCCTGGCTCCTCCACCTCTAACAACAGAACGTCCCCTAAATACACCAGCAGGGATACCTCTTCTGTAAGGTGACGCTCTTGCGTACCTTCCTGCTCGACACAGCCTCCTGGTGTTGTTCATCGCTTCCTTTTCCAATCTGCATCCATCAGAAGTACAAAACAAGTCAGTCCAACTTAAGATTCTAACTATTCCTAAAGACACTACCAAAAACCTTGCTTTGATATAAACAGAGTTATCCTTGAAAGGCTATCCTTGGTGGCACCAAAATGAACCTGTTTTACGACCAACCACACTCAAATCAATACACAAAATGAAAAGTTTTTGCTCAGTTCCGGTTCAGGAGTAAAAAAAAAACAGTAAGAGTCATTACATTGGCGACAAAGATTGTTCGAGACTTAGCATCTTCCAAAGGGCGGGTAGTAGATAATGTCCCTGCAAATGCCAGTATATCATCTTTAGACCAACTCAGGCACAAGAACTGAACCAAACAGGAACCAAAGTCACGGACAAATGTAATGCCAATACCATGAATCCTTAAAAAGACTCACCAGGAACAGATTTCTTAGTCACTGAGTCTTTTTTCGCAATGGCAGCAGGTTTTGTCTGTCAAAGAACAACAAGCCAACTAGCATGAGGAGTCCAGTGTTACTCGTAAGAACAAAATAAATCATCACAACATAGCCATAAGGAATAGTACATTAACAAGAAATAGCCAGAGGACGAGAATATGCATCTAAAACCTGGAACTTACATTTCCACTCCCCATTGTATCACTAGAAACTGATCTGCCTCCGTCCATATATCTTCGCATGCCCACATCTGGTTCTTTCAATATGCTCCTCTAACTTTACTGTTTTCCCCTGTATCTGCATTGCCAGAGAAACCTGCAGCGTTCTGCTTGGTTGCAACTACAGAAAGGTGATTTTGATAATTCGTCACTCTTCTGAGATCATCGACTAAACGATGCTGCAGACTTTTTGGATTCTCATTTCTGTTCCCAGGAAAAGAACTTGGGTGAGACCCATTAACACTTGAACCGAGCCTGCTTCGATCAGACGGAAGATTTGACTGCAAGCCAGTGTCATAAGTCGTCATGTTCTCAACATACACTTCAATTGTTGTCAAGATGCTCCGAGTATTGATGCTGTACCGGTTCCCGATCTTCGATAAGATTCTTACCTACTTCATTCTTAGGGAGGACATCATCAAGTATCAAGAGCATCTCGCATAGCAAACTGAAGCAGCCGGCTAGAAACAACAGGTTTAGCCTCCCTCTACCATATAAGTCAACCAAAAATCATCAGAGAAACATAACCACCATTCCATGCATTAGATTTACACGAGGTTATGTATTAGAAGACTCTCAAAAGGCAACCCAACAACACAAAATCCATGGTAACTGAGGACGTCTCAGACAAAGATAAAGGTACTCTCCGGCGAAAATTTGACTATGAGAATATTTTTACAATACGATATAGCACCCATCCAGTGAACTAATTAAGCATATTTTTCAAATTATCTACTCCAGGTAGTAAGTAGTTAGTGATGATTACTACTAAGCAGAAACTTACAAAATACAGACCTGTTCATTCCGTGAGCTGTCAGTTTTACTCCTTTTCCTATGGGAATGAGACCGCGGAGATGGAGAACTTTTTACCACGTCTTTCTCCATCCTCAGAACTCAGAAGCACTACTTGTCTGGGTTCTCCATCCTCCTCTCGAGCTGGTGCTCTGTTCATTTCCAGATTCAGACTCCATTTCCACAAGTTCTTTATCCTTATTCACCAATGAGCTTCTAATGTTAGTTTTCTCAACATGAGAGCTAGTAAAGTATTCATCCACACTTTCACCCAGATGATGCCACAACCTGCGAAAGGACACGCTACGTACAGAGAGACAAATAAAACTCTATTTTACATACCAGGACACAAAAGAATCGCTATCATAAGCAAGAAAGATCTTCAATTCATTCTTAGCGTCCTCTTTCCTTCTCCCATTCTTAAGCAAGACTATCATCACATATTCCTCCTATAAGCAAGCAAAAATATACATCACTGTCATTAGATATCTCTGTCACATATTCCTAACGAGCAAGCAAAAATATACATCACTGTAAAATAGATTTCTAAGAGACTTGTTAGCATCACAAATACACTAAAAAGTCAGCAACATTATCACACATTCCTATAAGCAAATAAATACACACACTAAAAAACTAAGCAACACTACCTAACAAGGAAGATGAATTAACACCATCAACGTGTATAACCACCAATCACAAACCCTAGAAAACGCAATATCATATATTCAACCCTAAAATGAGAAAATAAACGTTATTACCACAAGAATGTCATCAGTGTAATCTCCTTAAGTTTAACCTTCACTCTCTCTTTCAACTTCACAACTCCTTCCTCACTGAAAACTAC